GGCAGCAAGGAGTCAGCTGATCAGGCAGGGCGTGGCACCAATTAGACTGCAGGAACCAATCAGCTTCTTCCTGGACAGAACACACACAGAAACACTTCCCAAACAAAAGAAAACACAGAAGTAGAACAAAAGGGTCGTAACACTGACGACATAACTACGACATTACATGCTCGTAGTTTCTTACATGCTTTGATGTGAAATGATACAGTCTTCAGCATGCGCCTGCGTATTTGTGCGTGCAATTGAAGAGCACGCATCACGAGCACAATATAATGGCTGACAGGAAAAATAGGTGTTACAATAAGGTGTCATCTGTTAACATTAGTTAATGTATTAACCTACATGAACTAACAATGAGCAATACATTTGTTACAGTATTTATTCATCTTTGTTAATGTTATTTAATGAAAATACAGTTATTCATTGTTTGTTCATGTTAGTTCACGGTGCATTAACTAATGTTAACAAATATATCTTTTGATTTTAATAATGTATTAGTAAATGTTGAAATTAGCATTAACTAAGATCTATAAATGCTGTAGAAGAATTGTTCATGCTTAGTTCATGTTAACTAATAGAATTAACTACTGTTAACTAATGAACCTAATTATAGTGTTACCAAAATAGTTTTTTCTGACATATGGCCTGACGACATCTTATCTTATCTTATGTTCACTGTTGTTCTACTGAAGCTCCCTTGTCACTAGCGTTTGACTAGCGTGCACTAGAGTGAGCATCTGTAAAGTTGCCCATTTGATGTGGTCGTGAAGACATTCTGCATCTAAATAAACGCAATTTTTGTCAAGAAAAAAGAGACAGAAGCAGCCGTTGTGAGTGGGGTGGCCTTAGCTCTGCCCCGTGTTAATTGCGTTGAATATTTTTATCGCGTTAAACTGAAAAATTAATCGCCTGCGTTAATGCACTAATTTTGACAGCACTAATGTCAACATTATTCTTGGGAAAAAAAAGTTTTCTTTGAAAATGTATATTCATAAATGTAAAATTTATATAGTAAAAATAGTAATTATATAGTTAAAAAAATTATGATATATTTATTATAAAATTGTCTATTTTCAGAGTAATCAAAAACTATTTTTTGGCTAATGCAGAAGCTTGGGGATACTTTGCAAATAACGTTACCTGAAGGGTGGTAATGTTTATTTCTAGCATGTTTAAATGGTTACAGAACCGTTTTTGAAAAAAAAAAAAAAAAAAGTCTTGTTACTGGGAAAACTACACTATTTTGACTGAACAGTTGTATTACTGTCATGCTACTGAAAAATATAGTTGACTTGGTAGCTTTGCTACTTATAACTAGCTACTTAGATGTAGTTAGCTTCTCATTTAGCTAACTCGTTTTGTCAGAGAATTATGTTTGCTAGTTTCACATCTAGATCACCAATTTATCCTAATTCACAGCTTTTGCTGATGCTGCTGTTGCCCCCATCGATTTCCCTATCGCTCCAGCCTTTGCCGTCCCCAAGGTTAGCTGATGTTTATGTGTTTATTGCTAAGCAAACGTGTTTTTGAAGTCGTTCAGTGTAGTAACATCTGTTTCGCGCAGGTCCTAAAAGCAGCCAGTGTGAAGAAAGAAGACATTGCTATGTGGGAGATCAATGAGGCCTTCAGTGTCGTGGTGCTGGCCAACATCAAGATGTTAGACATCGACCCCGACAAAGTCAATATCAACGGAGGAGCAGTTTCCCTCGGACATCCAATTGGGTAAATATATGCAACATCTTTCTCATGCATCACTGTTCACTTTATTGACATACTGTAATTAGATTCGCACACTAATTAATGTGCTGGTTTTGCAATTTCTAGAATGTCAGGGGCGAGAATCGTAGGACACATGGTGCACAATCTGAAATCAGGACAGTACGGACTGGCCGGAATCTGCAATGGCGGAGGCGGAGCCTCCTCTATTCTGATCCAGAAATATTAGGACTTGCACTTTAATCCACAGAATGAGTGTAGGATTGGGTCCTTGTGCCAGATATATCTTCATGCCTACATTATTAATGTGAGGTCAGTCCTATTTTTAATTAAAATAGGAAACAAACTTGTGAATGGTCATACAGTACAAACTTCTCAAATAGTAGTATGCATACTGTGCTCTTGTTGCATATTTCGTTAAATGGTGTTCATTCTCAAAGTAATGGTTTAATGAAAGGGTTTAGAATGTTAAAATCTGTGTTTGCAATTAAATAGATTATTGGTTGTTTTCGTTGATGTTGAATGTGATGATTATACTCAGAAATAGCACAATGCATTTCACCTGAATGAACACCAGATGGAGTGTGCTTTGAGCTCTGTTTGCTGATTGGCTAATGGACGCTTTTCAGACTATAATGAAACAATAATTAAAATCTTGAATCTAGTAAAGTTTTTTTAATATATATTTTCATATTTAAAAAAAGATAATGTACTATTATAACATTGCACTTTATTTTACCCTAGCATTAAACTACAAACAAATTTTTTTTTAATGCTTCAAGATATTGTAAGTTGGAAAAAAAAATATTACGTTTGGAATGCTGAAAGCTGTAGGTATGAGTGGTAAAACCCAACAACAAAAAACTAAATTAATAATAATAACAGAATTCGGAATCAGTTCATTTTTATGATCGATCACTATTACCTATACAATAGCATTGGTTTAGCATCATTTTTAAATTACATTTTAAGTTCTTATGTGCAATATCTCAAGTTTCATAATTAGATTTTGTTACTGATGTTCCTGGTTATGGTCAGATGAGTCCTTGAGGATCTTTTTTTTCTTTGGCAGAAGTTATGCTCATTTACGTACTTTATTTATTGAATTACCTGTTTTACTAGATAATTTTTTAAATAATGTTTTGCCAAAGGGGTCTGTTAATTACAAAACACAATTAGATGCATGTGTCAATGACATTAAAGAGATACTCCAATCAAAAATTAAACTTGTTAAAAATGATTCACTTTCATGTCATTCCAAACTTATATGGCTGAGAACATTTAAATGACTTGCTGGTAATTAATCACCCTCATTAATCACTAAGAGTAGTAAACTCTTAAAAAAAAAAAAGTTACTAAGTGAAAATTTTCCAAGTAAATCTGAACAGCTATTTTTCAGTCACTTCACCTCAAATATGCCTGTTAACTATTTAACACAAACGAGTTAACTTTGCCCCAGCTATTTTCTAGGTTGTAACCAGGATTTCAGCAAGTGAAAAGGAACATTTATTTCTTCCAGAGAACTTGACGGAGACTGTTTTCCGGGTCTGTATAAACAATCCAACACCTTGACCGAAAACAAACTCCGGCTCCACCTCCAGACGCCACTCTTATCACGTCACATAACACCAAATGTTGATTTTACTGAGTACACGGAGAATGTTTATCAAGTTCTAATTTTCAGTTTCTTCCTTCTATTTGTCATTGAAATGTTATTGTTCTTCAGTCTAAGAGACAGACGTGCGAGTCAAATATTAACAGGATCTTGTGAGAGCACTTGTAACGTCATGGATGTCAAAGTATCGGCTCATTGACTTAGTTACTGAATAACTGCAGGGCTGAGACTGACCCCTGTGCAAGAGCTGAGTTTGGAAAACCACACATTTTCATAGTGCAGATTATCTTTACAGCTTGTTTTTCATGTGGAAATGATATGTGTCAGGAAATTGAACAGGAAGTCCAGTTACATCTGGTAACAGATTAAACCTTCATCATATAAAGCCTATAAAGTTTTATAGCTTTTAGCTGTTCAGGTGATTCTTGGTAATGTACGAAATGATTTAAATAATAACTTACAGTTGACTGTTCATATTTATTTCCTCTCCATATTTGTTCATATATGACATTGAAATATGTTCATGTATGACTTTGAAGCTTTAGCTGAAAAGAACGGCACTCTTGTGTAACATAAGATTGTTTAGTTTTCTCTGATACACAGAAAGCTAAAAGGTCTGCAAAGGTTGCATCTGTTGACACACATGGGGGATAGTGTTTGATTTGCTATGTTCTGAGACGTAAAGGGGTATTTAAAGGAATAGTACAACTAATAATGAATATTTTTGTCATTTTGCCAAAAAAGTTGAAAAGAGACATTAAAAGTACAATAACAGTAGTCCATATGATTCATACATTACATTTCAAGTCTTCTGAAATCATACAATAGATTTATGAGAGGGAAAGACTAAAATATGTCATTATTTACTCATTCCTGTATGCTGCTGCTCTCAAATTTTTTGTCATATATATATATATATTCCAATTATAGTTAAGTAAAACTAAAACAATTATATATATATATATATATATATATATATATATATATATATATATATATATAAATAAAAATCCTTAAAGGTAAATAAAATATTGAGGGGGGAAAAAAACTACTACAAATGATAAAAACAAAATTACTTTTAAATAAAATTACAATTAAATCGGAAAATAAAAAACTGGTTCAAAATATTATTATTATTAAATATTAATAAAACCTATATGGCATATCAGTGATACTATAATAACACTGGTGCATCAACACTACCAAATATGTTTGATTCTCATGTCTTGTAATATATTGTGATGTACTAAATTTCTCTTCTGCAAGTGAAAGGGAACATTTAGTGCACTTGCACAAGGCAAATTACCTGCATGCTTAATTTGTAGAAATGAGATTTGAGCTATGAATGGAAGGTTTTCAGTGTATAACAACTAAACTTTTGGTTAAATTCTCACGCAAAGCTATCATATGACTTCAGAAGACTTGAACCATAGCATTCAAATCACAGAGACTGAATTTAAGGAACTTGTTGATGTTCTGTTTTGAGAAAAAGGGAAGTTTAAAATGTACGTTTGCATTTGCAAGCCTAAAAACTTATTTTATTTTTTTTATCAAAAACAGATGTAATTTCTTATATTGCAGTTGTACCCCGTTCAAAATGTTGTGAAATGAAGTGAGCAACAAGGAAGCGCCTTTGAGAGGAAAATATACTTTCCTTTTTTTTTTTCGTTTTATTGACATAACATGTTTGCTTGGTAATTTACAATGCAAAGTTGCGTCATCTATGTTAGAGAAATTTAAGACCAGGTTGTCATTGAAAAGAAAAACAATGGAATGCTCTGAGTAATAAACTCTCAGTTCTGGTCACCAGGTGATATTTTATAATTGCATTCACCTGACTGGTGAGTGTTTTAGCTGGTTTACTAAGCAAAGGTGTGGCGTTGGCTGCTCATTACATACACAGAGAGTGGACAGAGAGTACGCTAACACTCAAACACAAGGAGAACCCAGGTGAGTTTTACTATATATTATTATAATTTGTATGACATTATGGATCATTTCATACAGACCCGTTGCTGTTTCTGAGACTAATGTATGCTTTGCTGTGTGTTCACTCAGCAGATCTTAGTTTGAGCTTGAAGTTCAAGTGTTTTTTGGATAGAATTTTACAGTTCAAACAAATCCAAAGGCAAACGATGCAGAAGACAGATACGGTAATGACATAAAATAGTTGTTTTTTCTTTTCTTAACTCCTATCTGAACATCCTCTTCTTCCACATTTGGATCTTTTAGTCCCTGTTGTCTTTTGATTGTCACTGATTTTATGGAACAATACAGACACTGTCACTCAACAGATATATTTGTAAAGCATTAACTATCCTGAGGACAAACCAAGCACTTAATGAATGATTCATCAGAAAGGTAATTTGATCTTTTAAAATGCAAAGGCAGTTAGATTTGAATTCATGAAAAATACTGATGATAACATTAGACACAATGGTTAATAGCCTAATTTAAGTTTTTGGCCTTGTGATTTTCTGTTTTGCCTGTGGCAGCAATTTGCTATTTTACACATCATTTCCATAAGGAACTAATTTCTGAATAAGCTACAGGGAACTTTACTATTGTACCTGAGAAATTTATGCATACAATAAAAATGAAACCAAAATAGACTTTCTTTATTCAGAAGAAAAACCACCAACATCAATAATAATTGTATACAATAATGATACAATCATTTGTATATATATCCCATATATATATCAATTATATACACACATATCATTTATATATATATATATATATATATATATATAAATGATATGTGTGTATGTATATGTTATATATATGGGATATATATACAAATGATTGTATCATTATTGTATACAATTATTATTGATGTTGGTGGTTTTTTATATATATATATATATGTGTGTGTGTGTGTGTGTGTATGCATGTCTGTGTATATGTATGTGTGTGTATATATATATATATATACACACACACACACATATATATACAGTATATGTGTGTGTATTCCCTGCCACAAAATGTAACACTAATTTATTAATAATAGTAATAATAGTTGTATTTATTATTGTTTTTATCATGGTATATAATATTCTGCAATTAATGTAGTTGATATATTAACATTGAATATTACTTGGCTCCTGTCTCAAAAAATATTTTTTTATTCTTTCATTCATTTTGTGGCGGTATCAATATATTTAATTTCAAGTAATCTATACTGGACATTTAGATTTAAGTGCATGAAATCTGAAATAAGATAATTTTTTTATCTTTTTTACCAGTGTTGTAAGATATAAGCAAGTGCAGCTCATTTCCTGTCTCTACCGCAAGTAAAATGTTGATCAGATGAAATATTGAATTACTGTTAAGACGTGTTAAGTGCCTCAGTTAATCATTTATTACATAAAATATAATAATGTCATTAAAAGTAGTAAATAGTGTGCATTATTGTTCAAATAAGGAACCATGTTTATTTAATAGGTAAGTATTTCCTGGAACAGTCTGCACATTATTGCTGTTAGTCATATTGTAATTGTTAATATGGACACAGTAGTCTAAAGTAACTTCTTGATGAATATTTTTCTAATTTGATATAATTTTCAGTCTGATTTGTCACATTATCGAACCTGAGAAGCTGACAAAAACCTAATTTCTTTCAGACTTACGACAACGTTTCTCACGTGAACCATGGATTTCAACATGAAGAGCAGCGGCCCCCTCCATATGCACCTTCTTCTGGAATAAAATGTTTATTTAATAGGTAAATATTTCCTGGAACAGTCTGCACATTATTGCTGTTAGTCATATTGTAATTGTTAATATGGACACAGTAGTCTAAAGTAACTTCTTGATGAATATTTTTCTAATTTGATATAATTTTCAGTCTGATTTGTCACATTATCGAAGCTGACAAAAACCTAATTTCTTTCAGACTTACGACAACGTTTCTCACGTGAACCATGGATTTCAACATGAAGAGCAGCGGCCCCCTCCATATGCACCTTCTTCTGGAATAAACCCGCCTTTACCTCAGTACCCCGGTTCCCAGAATTCCGCTCCACCATACTTTTCAGAGAGATACTCGCCTGCTCAGGGCCTGCATCAGTATACGCCTCACACAGCACCTGTAAACACACACCACACGGTCACACCTGGACTCTACCTTGACGTTAATCCGGTTCACAAAGGTATTTAATGCTTAGTTCACCCAAAAATGAAAATTCTGTCATCATTTACACGTCCCCGAGTTGTTCCAAGCTTGTATGGATTTCTTGCTTGTGTTGAACAAAAGAAGATATTTTGAAGAATGTGGGTAGCCGAACAGTTTCTGGTACCCATTGACTTCCATAGTTTTTTGTTTTTTCCCCCCCATACTGTTGAAGCCAATGGGGACCAACAACCCTCTAGCTACCAACATTCTTCAAAATATCTTCTTTTGTGTTCAACAGATAAAATTAATTCTTTTTTGGTTTGGGTGAATTATCCCTTTAACCTCTTTTAGTAATTTTTATGTTCTAAATTTAGATTCTTATGAGCTTTGATTTTCCAACAGCTTCCAGGAGAAAAAAATGGCCATTTATCCTTTGCATAGTCATCACCCTACTGGTTGTTGCTGGGGTCATAGCTGCGGTGCTTTGGTTTTATGGTAAGAAAGCCACACAATGGATATCCTACTATATATCTACCCAGTTATTTCTTGCTCTGATGTTCTCTGTCTACTCCAACAGGTGGGTTTGATTGTTTGCAAGGGCGTCGCTGTAAAACAGATAACAAATGTGTCAGCTTCTCGCAGCGGTGTGACGGCGTGCAGGACTGTCCATCGGGAGACGATGAAACTCATTGCTGTAAGAATCCCTTACGCATATGGTCTGACATGATGAACCGATCCCATTCAAAGATCTTTACTGTACTTTTTTTTGTAGTTCGTCTGTATGGACCTAATTCCCTTCTTCAGATGTACTCACATGTGACCCAAAAATGGGAGAATGTGTGTTTAGATGGATGGAATGACAACCTTGGAATGCAAGCATGTGAGGAGATGGGATACGAGAGGTAATGTCAGAGAAGTCTGCTACGACTACTGTATAATGAACTTTACAAAAGATTTCTGTTTTAAATAAATGCTCATCATCAAAGAATCCTGAAATGCTGTAGTTGCCACAAAAAAATATTAAGCAGCACAACTGTTAGTAACTGTAATAATAATGTTTTATGAGCACCAAATCAACATTTTAGAATGATTTCTGAAGGATCATCAAAATGATGCTGAAAATTCAGCTTTGCCATCAAAGGAATATGTAATACAATTACAGAATGGGTTTTGAATGAGATGATTTGTAATATGTGCTGTGTGTTTGTGTGTGGTTTATCTCTCAGGAACACTTATGTGGGTTATGAGGAGATTTACTCTAGAGCATCGTCTGATTACATGCTGGTGAAGACGGATTCTCCCAGCTCTTTCAATCTGACAAGTTTTCTCAGTAAAAGGTGCGTCACAGACTGTTTACACAGAATTTTCCAGTTCTTCACATCTAAAATGTTTAGGTTTTTGCATATCGGTTATGTTATTGCAGTTAAAATTAATTATTGGTTAGTCATGTTTTCCCCCTATAATCAGCTTGTTTAAAAACTCTTCTTTTTATATTTCTTTTATGATAATTCAGTTCAGACTGTCCATCTAACAAAGCAGTGGCACTCAAATGTATAGGTAAGATAATAGTTGCATCTCTTTATTTTATTTTTATTATTACTTCTTGTGTGTGTGTGTGTGTGTGTTCTTTTTTGTTGTGAAATAAAATATATATTCTGAAACTGAAATATATATATATATATTTTTTTTTTTTTTGAGGTGTTACCCTTATTTTGTATGAACAAAAAATGTTAAAAGTAGTTTATATAAAACTAAAATAAACGTTAAATATTAGGTATAATAATAATATAATTAAGAAAAACTAAAACATAATACGTAAAAACGTAATCGAAAATTTGAAATGCCTTGGCTACTAAATTAAATAAGTACTGAAGTAACTGAAATAGAATAAAATAAAGTTAAATAAAAAATAAAAACCAAATAAAAATGACAAAAGCACATCACAGCATTAATATAACTAAAATAAAATGAAAACTGAAACTACAAAAATAAAAGCAAATTCAAAATATTATTAAATACTATAAAAGTGCATATATAATACAATAACACCGATCCCAATGTACAAATTTGTCATCATCTTTTACTAACTCTCATGTGAATGATGAGCATTTTCATTTTTGGGTGAACCATCCTTTTAAATATTGTAATTATTATTATAAAGTATTAATATGAAGTGTAGCTTGTAGCTAGGAAAGCTACATTTTCACATACACTGATACTGATTATTGAATTCTGTTGTAGATTGTGGACGGAACAACGGGAGACGAATCGTGGGAGGAACCACTGTGACCTCAAAGGGGGTGTGGCCGTGGCAGGTCAGCCTGCAAATTTCCGGAAACCATTTGTGTGGCGGGTCTGTCATTACACCTTACTGGATCATCACTGCAGCTCACTGTGTTTATGAGTAAGTACTCTCATTTAGTCCAGTCTCATTTGACAAGTTATGACGAACTCTAATAAATGACAAACTGGTGTAGGTTTTCCAATGCAAGGGATTGGACTGTGTATGCTGGATATCTGACTCGTGCTGAGATGCGGTCGGCCACTGGCAATTCTGTAAGCCGAATTGTCATGCACAACTTTAACCCGAGGACCAACGAAAATGACATTGCCCTGATGAAGCTAAACCGTCCACTCACAATTACATGTAAGACTGAATTTCACATTTCCCCCCAGCCAATAAAAAAATGTCATGATAATTTGATAATACTGACACAATAAATGAAGTGTTTTTGTTTTACACACTGTTATTTTAGTATTATTTACAGTATATACTATTATAGTGTTTATTAATATTTTAAATTAGCTTTTATGTTTATATTTTCAGTTTTCATTTTTATTGAAGTGTAAGCTTTAGTAATTCTGTTATGTGTTTTTGTCATTTGAATTAGTTTTAAAAAAGGATTTTTATTTTCAATTTAATTTGTAGTTAGTTGGAAAGGCAACATTTCTGTATTTTTATTGAATAATTATTTATGTATTTAATATTTATAAATTAATATTTTTTATTTAAGATTTGATTTCAGCCTTATTTCTGTTAACAAAAAATATTTTTAAAGGGATAGTTCACCCAAAAATGAAAATTTTATGTTTGTCTGCTTACCCCCAGGGCATCCAAGATGCAGGTGACTTTGTTTCTTCAGTAGAACACAAATTATGATTTTTAACTCAAACCGTTGCAGTCTGTCAGTCTTATAATGGAAGTGAATGGGAATCACGGCTTTGAGAGTCAAAAAAACATACACAAACAAAACCAAATTAAACCCTGCGGCTCGTGACGATACATTGATGTGTAAAGACATGAATCGATCAGTCTGTGCAAGAAACTGAATAGTATTTATATCATTTTTTACGTCTTATACAGCGCAATGTCCAACATCCGACTCGTGTACGTGCTCTGGCATAGTAGACATAGATGTATATACGTAGATGCCTCATTAGTGACTGTTTCTATGGGCTTCTATGGGCAGTAGAACACAATCTTCGTTTGTGTTCTACTGAAGAAACAAATGGCGCTTTTCCACTGCGTGGTACGACTCAGCTCGGTACGGCATGGCTCGGCTCGGCTCGGTTTGCGTTTCCACTGCAGTTTAGTATCGCTTTAGAATGGGCGGGATTATTCACATGTCGTTATAGTTGCGCCGCCTCTACTGCCACGACTCCTAAAAAAACGTTTTAATTCCGCGTCGCCCCATCAAGCTCTCGCTGGATCCGCTCCTCTGCTATCAACGAGAGGAACGTCTGTTCTTCTGCAACAGGGGGAACAGCCACTTTTTGGTTGTTAAAAAAAGGTGCGCTCGTTCAAAACCGTTGCGTTCGATCCTTCGCTGGCTGTGCTGATTTAAATCTAGCGGGTCTGTTTGTGTCTCATGTCGCAAGTTCAGTGACGCAGGTAGTGACGATTTTCTCCGGCCAATCCGTGATCAGCAGAGTTTACACGTCACGTTTTGGTAACGGTACGGTACGCTTGGAACCCCAACCGAGGTGGTACTAAAAAAAGTACCAGGTACCAGGTACTGTACCCAGTGGAAAACCCCCAAAAAGTGAACCGTACCGAGCCGTACCGTGCCGTACCATGCAGTGGAAAAGCGTCAAAAGTCACCTACATCTCGGATGACCTGGGGGTAAGCAGATAAACATCAAATTTAAATTTTTGGGTGAACTATCCCTTTAATAGTTTTAGTCACACTGTAAAAAAATTATTTCAGAGTATTAAATAAAACAGATTATTAGAGTATGTTTTGCAAGAAAATGCCATTTCAGTTTTTCTACTTCAAAATTTCACATTTAATTCAGTGTTTCTTTGTGAAATTTACTAGCGATTTCAATGATTAAAAAAAAATTCTAAAAAATAAAATTTTCAAAAAGTAAAATTCATTTATTATTATTATTTATTTTTTTTTGAGTAAAATGTTTTTTAATATAGAACATGTCTTCGATAATTGAGTTTTAGGTGAAAGTTTTGTTCACCGAAAAAAATCATAATTTACTCACCATCAGGTTGTTCAAAAGATTCTTTCTTGTGTAGAACCTAAAGAGAGAAATTTTGCAGAATAGTCAAGCTGTTCTTGTATATAACGACTTGTATATCAGCCTGTTCATGACTTCAGAAGAATAGGAATAAGTTGAATGGACCATTTTTGTGGTGCTTTTTTGCAGCCAGACATGTGAACATCTGTTTCCATTGTGTGGAAAACAGCAGCTGTACATTCTGCAAAATATCTCCTTTTTTGTTTTACAGAAGAACCATACATCTTTGGATGTTGACATTTTCCATTTTGTTTCTTGTTTCAGCGGATGTCAGGCCAGTGTGTCTGCCCCATAAAGGCATGTACTTTGCTGCTCCGCGGGAATGTTACGTCACTGGATGGGGGGCACTGTTTAGTGGAGGTTTGAAACTTTTTGAATAGCTAACCCAACAGAACTGTGCTAAACCATTTACAGATCCAAATACAGGTGCAATGATTAATATTAGACAGAAAATAACTCGTGTCTCTACATTTCTGAAACTGAAAAGCATGACAAACAAATTTTGTTTTGGTAAAGGCCCTTCCTCACAAACCCTACAAGAAGCCAAAATCCAGCTAATCGACAGAACGACTTGCAACAGCCGACCAGTGTATAACGGACAAATCACAGACACCATGATCTGTGCTGGCAAGCTGGAGGGCGGCGTGGACTCCTGTCAGGTTAGAAACACACTCTGTATAAACACATTTAGAAGCTGCTTGATCATTCAAAAGAGTAAATTAGAGTACTGCAAATGTCATGTATGTGCCAAAGGCCAAATGAAAAAAAGTGATCTTCCACACAGGGGGACAGTGGGGGTCCTCTGGTCATAAAGGAGAATTCTCTATGGTGGCTGGTTGGGGACACTAGCTGGGGTGATGGATGTGCTTTCAGAAACAAGCCTGGAGTCTACGGAAATGTGACCTACTTCCTTGACTGGATACATGAACATATGCGGGTAAGATTTCAAATATTAATACAAACTGTCACATAAAATGTATTATTATTATAATAATTATTATTATTATTACTAGTATACATGGCAGAAGAAAACCTCTTTGTATTTTTTTTCAGAGATATTAGCTTTTTTAATATAAAGCTATTTGAGAAGAGCAACTGATCCAAATCGCTGACTCTCAGGAACTGTGACAGGGTCCAGGAGACTTTTAATGTGAGATTAGTTTTTTTTTTGTATTCTTGAATTTTACTTTTTGTTTTCATATAAATGTTTTCACATAAATCTAAAAGAACCAGTTATTTATTTTCACCGGTGTCAATAATGAAGTGAATTGCACATTGTGCTACAACATGCACTTTTCTTTTTTGTATAAAGAACACAATTGTACAAATGATTTTATAAAAATCCCTACCTGACGATGACGTCTTACATCTCTGACATATTTCTGTTCTCTGGTTTCTTTGCCACCACAACAGTTCACATTTGCATTATTACAGTATTTGGTCAAATAACAGGGTGTGACAGGCAATACAATAGTGACACGATGCAAACAAATGTCTTTATTTTATAACTATTGATAGCTGAAATAGTTTTTACAACATCAAGATTTTATTTAAAAATGTAAATGAATGCCTTGGCTGGACACCATTTCTTTTTTCACTATTTTTAATCACCTTTTTGTCTTCACATTAAATGATTTTTTTTATAAATACATATGTAATGTTGTCTCTGAATTAAAATGAGGACAAAAAATCTGCATATATAATAATTAAAAAAGCTAAATGCTCTTTAAAATGGTTCTAAATTGGAGTATACATTTCCAATAAACTTTTCAACTAACCATATTCAAACTTAATAAAATCTGTGCCACATATTTCATATTATACATTTGATGACTTGAACTTCATTATATTTTAAAGATTGTATATATGGACTTTGACAGTATTATATTGTAATACAATATTTTATATTAACTTGGATATTATGATATATATATTCCTCAAAATATAATAATGTCCAAGGTCATAAATTTATAGATAGATAGATGCATGATATTAAATGCAACTAAATTAATTTTAATATTTAACATATTTATATAAAGATATGTAAAAATATTATATATGGACTGTTGAGGACTATATATAATATAATTACTTTTTTTATTTTTTTTATCTGTAACTGAATGATTCCAGAAAACTTTATGAGATCTAAAGTAACAGAATCTCATATTGGTTGCCTATGACCCATTTTCCTCGGCTTTTCTTCACACCTAAAAAAATGAATTCACACCAACCCACGGAGTCCTCACGGTTCCTGGCTCTCAGTTAATCACCATTATGAAGTGTTATAGCATATTCAGCAGCAGTATTTAAACCTCTCCTTTGCCATTTTAGCAGGACCTTTAATCACCGCTCATTGAATTTGCGACTCTAATCGGCAGATGCTCAGTGGAGGAGATCAGCGTCTGCTACCTGTTTGTACCAATTAGCAGATGCGTGACACTCGGCTGACGGCTCTTCAGAGGGTTAACAGATGTGGCAATTACGGCCTCATTTGAATGAATGCTCAAGGGGTTCAACATAAGGGCTGCGCAATTACACGGCAGCCTGGGAACCCATTTCATCTTCAGCTTTATTCTCGGTCTCTGTGAGAGGGAAGTGTTGGCAGGGAACCCACGGTGTGTTGACAAACAAACCTGCTACCCGTGATGAATCCCCATAAACCCCAAAAATGTCATGCTGATTAAATCAGCCTGATTTAGGCCTGACTCGGGCTGCAGGAGAGCTTAGTTATGATAATGAATGAATGAATGAGATTTTAAAGGATATATTATTGTCCAGGAAATGGTTTTATTCATATATATTTATATATATATATATATATATATATATATATATATATATATATATATATTGATTTGAGAAGAGAAACTAATTCAAACCACAGACACTGATTTTGAATTTGTCAAATGGATTTTTAAAGTAAATTTATTTTATTTTGCATTGCATTATTAAATGCTGTTTTATTTATTTATTTATTTTTGTTTTGTTTTGTTTGTCTCGCCTGCATCTGAAATATCTATTCTCCCAAGTGCGTCAGGTAAGCTAAAGGCTAAAAACAGAAATGATTTACTCACTTTGTGTCACAAAAGATATGTTGTAGATGTATTGTGTAATTATTTCCATTCAATGAAAGTAAATCATACTATAAAAAGGGTCAAACTGCAGGTTTGATATCAATGTTAATCAGTAATGCTAGACTTAATTGACATTAAGGCCACAGTAATGTCATGCCATGTATAAATGAGATTTAATATCTTATTTGCAACCATATTGCGTCCTCAGAAGATTTGAAGTAAAGTGTACATGTAACAAACAAGTAATAAACCAGTGTTATGGTACTTTTATACTGCTGTTCTATCATAAATGCTTATATAGTTGCAAAATAAAACAGTGCCCAGCTTTAATCTGCTAAATGTGACTGAGGTGTGAGGATATAAAGATATTATCATTATTATAATATAAAGTAGACCCAGTCCCAATTCACTACCATTGTACAGAAAAGAGCAGCCATGATATTCTGCGTAACATCTCATTTTATGTTATAGAGAAGACAGATGGGGTTTGATGGAATCTTTTTTTTTTTTTGTGAACCATCCCTTTAAGCAGTCACCCAAGGTGTGAGCAGGGCACAGATTCTTCAGAGAGGACAGATGCTGAGGTCTTCCTTTAGCTCTCACATGAGGTTTAGTGTCCCCCGATCAAACAGAGTGTGTCATTTAGTCTGAGGGCCTGATCAAATAGACTTGCCTCTACAGCCAATGAGGGGGGAGAGCGTGTTACTGGGCAGTTATGGGTTTAGTCTCTCTCTCTCTCTCTCTCTCTCTCTCTCTCTCTGTTCTTGAGGTCGATGTCATACATCAGCGTTCATAGGTTCCCTGTGCTGCTGTGTGCGATTCTACTAACCATCAGCACTCTGTGCTGCATTTAAGATCAGCTAATAGCATCAACTATCAGCTCACCTCAGCAACACGAGCAATATTAGGCTTATTAGAGGAACACTACCTGCTGACATCAAATTATTTCTCTTTATCCTCCTGAGACCCAGCTATGGCGTTTATGCCTCTGTGGTGGACATTATATTTTAGTGAATTTCTCTGAGACCTCACATGGCACAGTTTTAAGTCTGGATGTCCTGAACAGAGCACATTCAGGGCTTTCCAGAGATACCAAATGATTGGATGTTTCACCATGACCACTCCCTCTCCTTGGTTTTTAAAAGTGGCTGACATTAATTTAGTGATAAAATTGTACATCCTTATGGAAATATGATCATATTTTGTAATTATAATTTAAATCTGATTAATTTTCAAATTGTTTGTCATAAATCAACATCTCAGGAAAATGTTATGGGGTTTCAAATCAAAATATGACCTGTTACAAAACAGGACCTCATTTCATACATGTCCACTGTCGAGGACACCAGGACTAAAGGCATGTTTATTACACATTTTGGGAGACAAAAGAATTGAATAGGAAAACAAATGATATATCAGGAAATGTCGAAGGATATATTTCTATTGCTTTCTTAGCTTTCCTTTTTTTTTTTTTTACTGTGCATCATCGTTTTTGCCTGAACGAGTGATGCATCTTGTTTTGAAAACGTTTGTAGCTAAAATCAAACATTTTCTAGTTATAGCTTAATCAGGATAAATTTTTGTATGTACAATTAATGTGCTTTTAATCTGAATCTGTAGAGTTTTTTTTACACACTTTAAACGAAAAAATAAAAAGTGTAAAGTGTGTGATGCGCGAGAGTGTTTATGCAGTTCTCCTGACAAACAGCAGGCGGCGTCCTGAACAAAGCGCACAGGTCGTAGCTGCGGGGTTTCCCTTCGGTTTCTCTCACAGATCTGCTTAAAAATAGAAAATCTGGAAGCGTCACAAGATTAAGCGTGATAAATCAAGCTAATTAAGGAATCATTAGTAGGTACAACAAAGTGTTTTTGACGATATTGCTACAGAATGGCTTGAAAAAAATTTTTTTTTGAAGACGTTTCAGGTCTAAAGGCAAAACTTTCTAAAGAAATAGGCTAATATTAATAGGTCAATAAGAGTGATGAAATGTAACCTCATAGCGTTCATATAACATTTTGATGAGAGATTTGATTTAATAAACCATCGAGAAAGATTTTCTACACTTTGAATACATATAGCCTAGCTAGCCTACACATTTGATTCATTATTAATCATAAGATATTTCAGACTAGTTTTTCACTATTTTATATATATAATTTTAGTTTTCATATACCATTTTTGACAACAGTTTTGATTATATATATATATATATATATATATATATATATATATATATATATATATATATATATATATATATATATATATATTTTTGCTTAAGTCTTCTATTCCTCAGATGTTTCTCCTGAGAAATAGATCCTAGAATCTCTAGAGTTCACGATAATGTCTCATTAATGTCTCATGCTGTGCTCCGATTTCCCAAAATACTAAAGTAGCAGAAATTCCAAAATAATTATATAATATAATAACAATAATACAAAGTCTCCAGTCAGGAATTGCAATATTCAAACTCTTAAAACAAATAAGTTGTGCTACTGCTTTGCATTATTTGTCTTATTTTTTATTTAATTTTTCTAATGTATGTTTTATTGATATAGTTATGTAATATATAGTAACAATAATGCAATTTTTATTTTAATAATGTATGCAATCAGAAATTCCGATATGAATTCAAACTCTTTCAAGAGCAAATTAGTTGTGCTGGTGCTAGAATTTTGTCTAGTTTATTTTTATTTTCTTTATATAATGTATAACAATAATAGTGCACTTTTTTTTCTTTTTAGTATTTAATTTTATAATAAATATAATACTAAAAATACTTAAGTCTGCAATCAGAAATTGCAATATGAAGAACAAATTAGTTGTGTTACTGCTTTGTGACGTTTGGCTTATTTTTTCTCATAAATTAGTATCATTTTTATGTATGTTTCATTTCAGTTTAATTTTACTGGTCCAGAGATCTTTTTTTGATGTTGTTATTAAGTATGCAACCAAACTGAAAAATCACAAATTGTAGAGCACATTATGATGTTCATGAGGATAATTGGAGCATTATTTCTTCTACTGAAGTTCACAGCAGAGACTATCTGCTCTCAGCAGCACAGCTCTGTACGTTCATCTGTCTGTCATGTTGACAGGTCTTCAGCCGCAGCGATGTTAACGTCCCGTGGCTGTTCTCCAGTGATGAGTCCAGATGGAGGATATGTTGGTACCTGCCCTTCTATTTCCATTGCCAGCTCACTCCCTCCCACCCCCGGTACACCTCCACGCCATCTGTGCCAACCTGCCGTCTCTCCGTCAGACAGTTGCAGGTTCCGCGGTGCGTGGCAGGCCTACAGCTGTGCAGACAGCCAGCCCAACATCTGTGTGTCCTGTGGGACAGATGGGGGGTGGGGGGGAATGTCCCGCTGATCTACTCAGCTGCTGCTGGCCTTAAACACAGCCACTGGCCGGCAGTTCTTTGTACAGGATGAGTTTTGCAAAGTAAGTGTAAAATAAAAAGGGACTATCTGTTCAGTATTTACTGAACTGAACTTTTCCC